GGAAAATTAACCCAGAGGACCACACAGAAACTAATAAACGAGACTTTCACTTCTGGTGGGACCGACCATATCACATTACCAAAAAGGTATATGTAGAATAAAATTAAATTAAAATGAGATGAAATAATAATAAAAAAAAAACAATGAAGTGCAATTGTTAGTGAATTTTCATCTCGTTTCACCAGTAATCATAATATACACAGTAAACTTGACTGTAGTCTTCAGATTAATGTTATGAACACTGAATCTGTACATGCAGTGGAAAATGCACACAAACCAAATGTGAATGTTATCCAACTCTGTACTGTACACAGACTACACAAACACTTACGCTGACGTTACCTCACTCACATACTGTACACACACACACACACACACACACACACACTCCAATCTAATGAGAGCAACACAGTATTGGTGCCTGGGGGTGAGGGCTTTAGAGAGGGAAGAGGGAACCGTCACAAAAGACCAGGCACATCTTTTGACAGTGGAAAGATTCTCGCAGCAACCTCCTGCACTGGGGGTTTAATTTTTCATGGCATGAAACATGGCACAGGAAAGCAATTTGAAGAGCAATCAAGGTCGACAAAAGGGACAAGGAAGCAAAACAGATTAAGAAGGGAACAGAGAGACTGCCCTGCCCTGAATTAGCTTTGGATTAGCTACAGAGATGTGCATGGCGCTAAGAAACACATAGATGCTCAAGGATGTCACTGCCATTACATTGAAGAGACTGGAGCCTGCCCAGCAACCATCCAGTACTGTTGTCTGGGTGCAAATCGGGTAGATGGTAAATATGCATATGGAAGGCGTTTTCTTCCTTTATAAGGAAAATGCTTCAGATAAGAAAAATGCTGTGAAATTCTTCTGTTCCAATAAGGAAACATCATGATGATTATAGAGTTCAATGATGAGAAGAATACTAGTAACAACAACCACCACTGTGGCATGTGCACAGCAGTTATCAAAGTACATGGTAATCAGCTGCTAGCCATTGAAAGAGAGGCTGCTGATAGGCTGAAGGGACAGTGGCAGCAATACACTGTCTCAGTGCAAAGGGTAAGGCCTCGACTGTGGGCTCTAATGAACACCAGTCTGTAGAGATGTTTTCACATGTCTGCAAGAAAATAAGAGCATGGCTGCTGAGATGGCACATCAACACTTTGGGTGGGAAGCACTACGAGCCAAATAGGGTTAACACACTCCTCTCTGAGCTTCACTCTTAATTGGACTTGAAGGCACTGTCAGGTCCAATCGTGATGAGGGGGTGCAAAACAGAATCTGCTGGAGAGAAAACCTGCCAAATCTGGTGTTGTGCACGTCAGGGGGGAAAGAGGTGGCAACATATGGGGCAGGGGCTTCTTAAATCCCAGTCCCAAAATTAGGTGGTATTTTTGTATCACAAAGTGATACTTTGTCTTATTATAAATAAAGTGATGCTTTGACTATTTCTTATGATTTAAAAATGATTATGGGATCCGTAATTGAGAATCTTTTGATATTAAAAATGATTTGTTTGTTTGTAGTCTGCATATTTAACAAAGAGGTGAACCTGGGGCAGGAAGGGAAAGTGTAGAGGAAGCCATTTGTGTCTATGTAGACAGGTGTGTGACCACCATCCACTACACAACACAGTTTTGAATTGTTATGTGGCCTTGTGAGTTATAAAAAAAAAAAAAAAAAGATCTGTTGGTAGATTAACTTTTTGTGCACATTTCCATTTGACAAATTGGGTCTGCTTGACAATCAAATGGTAGAATGGGCCGCTCAGTGTGCCACCACCTGTCTGCGCTCCATGGTTCCACAACGCACCAATTGGGGAGGGCCATTAGATGCAATCCCGGACTTAACGAAAGTGCCGCCAGAATATCATGATTTGAAACAAATATTCAATAAGACCCGGGCGTCTTCCCTTCCTCCACATAGACCCTATGACTGTGCTATAGACTTATTGCCAGGCACCATGCCTCCTAGAGGCCGCCAGTTTTCTCTGTCTGTTCCAGAACAGCGGGCCATGACTGATTATATCACGGAAGCCCAGAGGGCTGGGTTGATACGCCCGTCCTCGTCCCCAGCTGGGGCAGGGTTCTTTTTTGTTGGGAAGAAAGATGGGGGGCTTAGACTGTGCATAGACTATCGCGGCCTCAACCATAAGGGAGGGGGATGAGTGGAAAACTGCTTTCAACACACCAGCGGGACACTATGAGTACCTGGTTATGCCATTTGGGCTAACCAACGCCCCAGCTGTTTTCCAAAACCTGATTAATGACATTCTGGGGGACATGTTAAATGTTTTTGTGTTTGTCTACCTAAATGATATCCTTATCTTTTCACCCTCCAGAGCCCAACACATAGAGCATGTCAGGGCAGTGCTACAGCGGTTGCACTTGTTTTTGGTCTGGACTGACCATAAGAACCTGGAATATCTGCACTCTGCCAAGCGGCTAAACCCCAGGCAGGCTAGGTGGGCTCTGTTTTTTGACCGGTTTGATTTCTCTCTCTCTTTTCGCCCAGGTCACCGTAATGGGAAGGCAGATGCCCTTTCCCGCCTGCATAACCGGGAGGACAAGGACGCAGAACCAGTATACATACTGCCCCAGTCTGCCCGTATAGGCGCTGCTCTTCTTAGCATTGAGCAAGACGTCATCAAGGCCCAGGGGTCGGAACCAGGTCCATCGACCTGTCCGACCAACTGCCTGTTTGTTCCAGTAGCCTTGCGCACCAAGGTGTTGCAGTGGTGTCACGCCTCCAAGATCGCCTGTCATCCTGGGGTGGCACGAACATGCTACCTCGTGCAAAGGAGGTTTTGGTGACCCACCATAAGGAACGATGTCCGGGAGTTCGTTGCCGCATGCCCTGACTGTGCCAAGCACAAGGTCCCCACATGTAAACCGGTAGGGCTGTTACGCCCTTTCCCCATTCCCCTGACACCTTGGACCCACATCTCTGTGGACTTTGTAACCGGTCTTCCCACATCATGAGGTAATACTACCATCCTCACTATTGTTGACAGGTTTTCTAAGATGGTACACTTCGTACCACTACCGAAATTACCCTCAGCTAAGGACACAGCCCAACTACTCATCCTACATGTGTTCCGGTTGCATGGTCTCCCCAGGGATGTGGTGTCAGACAGGGGACCCCAGTTTGTGGCCCGTTTCTGGACGGAGTTTTGT